GTTTTGTGAGAGCAGCCAAGGCAGCAAAGGTGGCACTGCAATTCCCTGCACTCATAACCAATCATCACCTTATTTTTGCTCCTCTTCTCTAAGGATAAGCCTACCCAGGGTCCAAGAGTCCTGGGGGCAGGGACAAACAGGCTGTCTCGACATATGAGACATGTCATCTTCTCCTCTGAGCCCAGCCAAGCCCCATCCATCTCCTGCCTCTCCAGGAGCTCATTTAGTCACACACTCACAACCCTCAAGGAACTGTGCCCCATTCCAGGGAAGAGGGCCACCTACTCCTGTCTTAGGCCTTTTCTCAGATCCTCTGCCAGGGATGCTCCTTTCCCCTGCCTCTAGCCATTCATGCATCTGAGCCTTCCCTGCTCTTTTGTGCCAGTTTAGTGCCTCCAGCAAGCCTTCCTTGACCACTTGAGCTTCACAGTGCAACAGCATGGTTTATTTTACCTATATGCTGTAATTGTGCATGGTTTGAGGTATTCACCATGTTTTTCCTGTGTATCAAATCTCCCACTAAGTGAGGGAGCTCCCAAAGCCAAGGATCAAGCCTCTAACACCTGCCAAATCTCACCTGATTAACCAGCATCCTCACTTGGCCACATAATCTGAATTCAGTGACCCTCATGATAATGAAAGTCTAACCATGGAGCCACTACTGCAATACCAGAAGGCCTGGTTCCCCTATGAGCCCCATACTGGGATTCTTTCAGAGACCAAGATGGGGACATCAAAGCTATGGCCAGCCTCATTCTTCATCAAGTGGAGACAGATCTGGGAAGACAACCCCGGCTCCAGACTCGTAAGACCCACAACCTCACCTGTGCTAACCATTGGATGGTCTTGGGCAAGTCTTTTCCTTTCTCTGGGCCTCAGTTTCTCTTTCGGTTTAACAAGTAGTCCTACAGGGTTTGACAGTTGTAGCTTGGGAGTTGGCTCCAACTTTGATGTGCAGATGATGACAGTTTAGATTGTCTGGAGGGGTTAAACTCAAATCCCCTCCATTTACTAAAATAAACTGTACCAGATTGACAGTGGGTCCATATTGTACCAAGATTCTTTGATGTTTTTCTTTTGTTTTTATTTGTTTATTGTTTTTTGAGATAGGATTGCAGTATGTTGCCTAGGCTGGTCTCAAACTCATGGGCTCAAGTGGTCCTCCCACCTCAGCTTTCTGAGTAGCTGGAACTACAGACGTGCCACCACCTCTGGTCTGAAGTATTCTTAGTGGATTCACAGGTGGGGTCCTCTTCTGCTGGCATCTGGAGGTTACATGCACCCACATTATGCTTAAGCAGGGGCATTTTGGGGAGCACTGCATCCTTGGGTGTTCCCCAAGAACTGATGGGCAAGCCACAGCAACACTGGCAGGTGAAGTGTCGTCAGCAACCCATATATGAGTGTGTCCCAGCTGGGGGTGCTAGAGACAACCGAGTCCAGCCCTGAGGAGGGAGAGAATAAGTATGACTGAATAGGTTGGGTGAGGCAGGGATGCCAAGGCAGGGCTTGCTCTGATCCAGGTGAAGACCCAGGTAGAGACACAGCTGGGTCAATTTGGCTTGGAAGGCAGGTGCTGGCTTAAGACACGCTCAGGCTCTGGAGTTTCCCTTCACCCCGCCCCCACCAATAGGCCCACCCCATCTTGCTCACCTTGCAAGACTGAGCTGGAATCCCCTCCTTCTCTTCTAGGAAGCCTCTGGTCCCTACATGCATATAGGGCCTGCCCTTTCTGGGGATGCTTGAGTTTCTCCACCTCCTCTTCATTTAGCCCTTGCTGAGTGCCAAGTCATCCCCCCAGGATTCTATATGCTTTGGGTCTTCAGGCTACTCCTGCCAGATGGGGACCATGTGTGCTACTATATGGGTGAATAAACAGACTCAGAGAGGTTAAGTGACTTTCTTACACAACCTTTATTATCTGTTGCTAAAACAAACCCACCCTCTGTCCAGGGCAGACCAGCCTTCCTGGACATATTCCCAAGCACCTTCACCTGCTACCCAAATGATTCCTTATGTTAACACTTCCTGTGATCCCACTCCCTACCCCATAGCCAACACCTGTAGGAGCCCTAGAGCATGGTGTGACAGAGACTAGGGAACCTCTAGTCCAAGCTTGTCAAGGGTCCAAGATGCAGATGTCTTTTTGATCCTGAGGCAGAGGCTACTGCATGTGTGCGGCTGGGGAGGGGGCAGGAGAGATGAGATGAGATAGTGACTCAACCCATTGGAGAGAGGAAAGCTGGTCCAGGAAGGCTTCCTGGCATATCTGGTCTGATGAGTTCATGAACACCCTGGGTCCAAGTGGTAGAGATGAGAGATTCCAGGCAGAAGAAACTGCAGAAGTAAAGCCACAGGGCTGGAGTTTTCACTGAATAAGGAGGCTTGAGAGACTAAGGGGTGATAGGGAAAATGGCTGGAGGTGAGAATTCTGCCATCTCACATGTCCTGAACATTCCTGATGTGCTCCCTCTTCCCTGGAGTAGCATAGTAAAGCCTAGGAATTGCCTGGCATATAGTAGGCACTCAATAAAGCTCTCAGTCTCTGCAGAGCTCCCTAAGGCCTGCATGCAGAACTAGCACCTACCAAACCCCAGCCAAGGCTGGGCACTTCTCTTCTGACTGCAGCTTTACCTGCTCCGCTACACCACATCTTCCAGCATAGGCACCTTGGCCCAGTTAGATGACCTCAAACCCTTCCTACTGAACCTGTCAGTGTGGCTGCTCTGGGAGTCCTGTTCCCTGGGGAGGCATATTTTCTCCTCCTAATGCCTTAACCTCTGGCTGGAGCCAGTCACCACGAGGCCAAGGATATTGTGCACCTCCAAAGTTGGAATGTGTAAACTCTTACTACCCATTTACTCTTAATTACCTCCCCTCCTTATTTGTCTTCCTTTAACGGCCTGTCAACCAAAATCTCCCGCCTTTCCCTCTGTGCCAGCGGCCTCAATTAGGTGCACATCTGTGGAGGCTGAAACTGAAATATCCAGCCACCAATGTCCACCATTGTACCTAGATTGGCTCCAGGTGCCTGACAGCCTGGCACTCTCTGGAGATGGCAATGCCATCCTGGTGTCAAAAGGCAGGCAGGCTGCGCTGACATTTCTCAGGCCACTGCAAGTCTGCTTCTGGAAGGTTCCCACCACCCATGGGGCTTCCAGGAGGAGTTATATCTTTTGTGCTGATCCTCTGGAGCTATGAGCACAAGTATTTGTCCAGAAAACAAGTAGGGGAGGCCATCTCTGGACAGTCCCGCCTGGACCCGGCGCGGGAGGGCGTGGGGGGGGGGGAGAAATGCTGGAAACATATCAGGAGGAGGGGAATAGGAGGAGGCTGCTTATCCCAGGCTTGTTAGGTCTTCAGTGCAGGACCCTCTCATTCTGTCCCATCTGGTAGAGGGGGATGGGGAAATCTAGCACAGTCAGCCATCTGGCTCAGTGAGGACCCTGGCTATCTCATATAGCTGGCCTGATTTCGCCTCTCAAAGTCCACTGGGCCCTTCCTGTTCATTGGGCCCCAGGGTTAGAAGCCCAGGGTGTCTGGCCTCTGCCTTGCCTTCCTCTGATAATGTTTTTGGGGACCTCATGTTTTGGGGGCTATAGGTAAACCTCACTCTGGCCCCTGAAGGTCACTCAGGTCAGGGGAGTAGTGACCTCTAGGAAATGAAAAAAGCAGTCCTCTTTTCAAGGCCCAGCTTATAGGGATGGGACAAGGGTGAGGGAACCATAGCAGGATTGGGAAGCAAGTAAAAATTATATTGAGTCCCATTCCAGCCCTCATTACCACCTCTGTGACCCTCAATCCAGAGCCTACTGCTCTTTCTTCCTCTTTCTTCCTGTGACTCCTTGGGCTGATCTGTGAGTGGCTGAGGGGAAACCCACCCGGACATCAGAAGGCAGGGGCTTCTGGGCATTTCTGAGCTAAGTTTGCCCAGCAGCTTTTGTCCCTCACTCTTCATGTTAGGTAGAATCTGTGAGCAACTACTGCCAAGAGGGCTGGCCCTGTGCCAAGCTGGTGGGGAGCATTCTCCCATTCAATCTGCACCAAGGACGGAGCTGGGTTCCAGGGACAACTTCAGAAGGATCCCAGGATGCTCTTCCCTATCTATGTGCTTCTTTTTACCAAGCCATTCACTGCATTCTCACTTCATTCTGAAAATGGAAATGAGCGCCCACATAAACACTCACAGGGGAGGAAACTGAGGCCTCTCAAAGCTAAGTAGTTGGCACTGAAACAAGCTCCAGCCTTCTGGCAGCAGGGAAGAGCCAGGGTCCTCAAGGACAGAAATGACTGGGTTGTGCAGGGATGAATTCCCTGGCCCTAAAGGAGTTTGACTAGTGTGCCTATGCAGGTCGTGGGAGCTAGGGGTTGGGGGAGGGGCAGTTGGGGGGCTGGATTCTTCCCTGCACTAGGTGCCATCTCAGCCCAAGGCAGTGAAGCCAGGGATGGCTGCATTCTGTCATCCTCAGGCCCTGACAACTGAGCAGCTGCACCCAGAGTCCTGCTCAGAGGACCAGTAGATTTGGGCTTTTTCTTTCTGACAGTGGCTAGACATGTAAAAAAGAGAAATGTTGCGGTAGTTGGAGCCTCGGGGTAGGGATGGTGGTGGTGGTGACAGCACTGCTACCCTTTTCTCTGGTCTGCTGAAGCCTGCCATTCCATCATTAAACCTGTGACTCCAGGCCATAAGCCTGTTGAAGGTCGAGCCACCAGAAGGGTCACACACACACACCTGCCTAGGGTTCTCGGGAGGGAGGTTCTTTTCGGCGAGTGAGGCCAAGAGGAACCCCTGGGTCTGAGATGTGGGGGCAGAGCCGCACCCTGGGCTCTCGAGCCGCTGCCCGGGCGCAGGACGCGCGCGCCCAGACTCCACTCGGTTGCGCGGGCCAGTAGGGCAGTCTCGGGGCTGCGCCGGGACGAGGGCGCGCGGGCATAGGCGGGCGCGTGGCCGCGGCGGGGGCGCGCGGGGGCGGGCCGGCCAGGGAGGGAGTGGGGAAGTAAGGAGAAGGGAGGGCGGTGTCGGCAGGTTGGCTGCGGCCGCTATTTGAGCGCAGGTCCCGGACCGGGCGCTCAGAGCGCTAGGAGCGAGCGCGACGGGGACATCGTAACGCGCAGCCCGCAGAGGCGCTGCGGCCGGTGCAGCCCCGGAGGCCCCGCGTGGAGCAGGCGGCGGCGGAGCACAGGCCGGCTCTTCGCCCGCACCCCGCCGCCCGCGCCCCCTTGGCTCGCCGCACCCCCCCTCCCCGCGGCGCCGCGTCTTGAATGGAAACATGGCGGTGCCGGCTAGGACCTGCGGCGCCTCTCGGCCCGGCTCGGCGCGGACCGCGCGCCCCCGGCCCGGCCCCGGCCCCGGCCCCCGGCGCCCGGCGGCTGGGCCCATGCGTCCGCTGTTGCTACTGCTCCCGCTGCTCGCCGCTTCGGGCGCCTCCGCCTACAGCTTCCCCCAGCAGCACACGTAAGTGGTCTCGGCCGGCCCCGGGACCCCGCGGAGTCCCGCGCGCCCCTTAGCCCCTCAGTCTGCTCCTGGGCGGGGGCGCCCTGTCCCGGGCACACTGCGCCCGGGGATGGCGGCCCCAATCCCCAGGCTCTCAGTAGCTGTCCTGGCGCTTCTGGCTGCGTCGCGAAACTTCCCCGCGGTGCCCCCCCCCAGCACCCCAAAGGGGGCAGGGCAAGATCTCCAAGCCCCAGGTTGGGACCAGGGTCCGAGTCTGCCAGCTGGTTACTGTGCTGCTGTCCGGGTGAGCTGGAGGCCAGTACTTGGGTGAAGGGACGGCGAGCGACCCCTGCCCAGCAGAGTTGGAGGCGTGCATCAGCCTCACGTTTTCTCCCTGGTGGAAACCTGACGCTTTAAAGTCAAAGGTGGGGGACACCTCCACACCTATCTTTTGGGGCCTTTTTCTTTTGAGGGGGGCTGGATGCAGAGGATGTGAACACCTTGCTATGATCAGTGTTACCAGTTCTTGGCCACCCCCTCAAGGGTCCCTCAAAAAGCCCAATTGGGAAGTGAAGGAGCTTGGGGTCGTGACAGAGGTGAATGGTGGGGAGGACCCCTGCCAGCTTCTGCTGCTGCTCCCACTGCCACCAGGGTAATAGCATCTCCGGCTCTGCCAGCTTCTGCTGGTGCTTATGGTCCTTCCAAGCCTCCTCACCCTCCTCAGGAGCCTGCAAACTCACCCAGCTGTGTCCGGCCTAGGAGTGGGTATTCAATGCATGTGCCCCTTGGGATAGTATCTGTTTTCTGATACTATGCCCCAACTATATGTCAGTGCCGACACCCCTTGGGGGCATGGTGACCACCCTGCCTCTGCTTTCTGTCTCTGGGTCTGAGGAGCCACCCGTCCCTGTACTCTGTTATTGGTGTCCTGGCCTAGGGTTTGGGGCTTGAGGACTGGGGCTGCTGTGGCCAAGGGGAAGAGGCTGGGTTCAGAGGGGGAGCAGATGGCTGCGTCATTAGAGCAGTTCTACCCAAGGGTAAGAGCCCCTGGTTCTGCCACTGAACCGGTGGACTCCAGCTTGTACACTCTCCCAGATGAGGAAAAAAACAAAACTCGGGAGAGGTACTGCTCTGAGTCTGTCTCCGTCTTGTCATCTCTCTCCTTGCACAGCCTGGTTTTGCTCTGGCGGGTGATCAGTTGGCAAATTACAGGTGCCGCACGGACGTGTCCTCTATCAACCGTCTGGATTTTTTGTGTGTGTATGTGAGGGGTTTTCAGGGAGAAGAGAATCGTATGGAAGTTCAGGGCTAGTGGTCGCATTATTGTCTCTCATTTGCTGTGATGAAAATGGACTTAAACCACAGTGTTTAAACAAGAGCAAAAGCACTATTTTTTTGTTGTTCTTTTTTTCAAAGTCAAGCACAAGCCACAGTTATTTTTTTCCTAGCTGTTTCAGAGCTCCTTGAGTGAAGGTTTAGGTAGACGTCCCTTTCTGATCTCAGTCCCCTTCATTGCAACCTGCAGTTGTTCACATGGCTGCTGGACCTGCATGAGTCTCCCCTAGAAGGCCAATGTCAGATCCTGACCAGGGTGGACACCTGTCCCTCTGTTCTCAGCCTGAAGCTGGTGAGGCGGGTGTGACAGCAGCAGCATATTTACAGCTGGACGCTCTTCTCTTGCTGATATAGTTGGAGCTTATTCGAGGGTTTGGGACATGTCTTGCAAACCATAATTAGGGACTGGGAGTGGGGGATGGGGTGGGGGCTGTGGAGCTCTGAGGGTCCTGGGGAGGTGACCAATGGTATGACATCGCAGAGGATTTGCGGTGAGAGCCAAAACCCTTCAGCTGTCCTGCACTCACAGATGCGGATGCTTATTGATCCTTAGAGAAAGGAAGGGGAGGGAATCTTGAGGTTCCCTCTTCATGACCACAGCTGGTTGAACTGACATAAAAGGCTGAGGCTGACACTGGGGCCAGAGGGCTCTGTGGAACTGCTCAGGGTTGGGGGTGTTCTCCCTGAACTGTCTCCTGGATCAGTATGGCCAGGCCAGGATCACACTGATACAGGTGGCTTTCTAAGGTGAAAAGCAGGACCCTCACCCCCATAGCACTGGGGTAATCACCCCTCAGTGGGGAGGGGCCCTGATGGCCAAGTAATTTCCTTATTAGTGTCTGTCATCATGCATGGGCCTGCTGTGCGAGTGGCTGGATTTTAAGCAAGTGCAGGTTCGGGGTTTGGTGGCTGTTATTTCTGAATCGCTCTGGAAGCATGGCTCTCTGCCCACCAGGTGAAATAGACCAATGCAGTGCCCAGATTGAGAAGGGCAGAGGAGTTCCTGCTGGAGGAAGGACAGGACTTTGGTTTTAGGGAGAGGGTTTCCCTCACCCCTCCTGGGTCAGTGTTTCAAACACAGAGGAGGCCATGTATGTGTGGTGTGTATCTGTGTGTGTGTGCACTCGTGTGTTGGGAAAGGACTAAGTCAGAGCATACTTCATTCTACCTGCTTCCTCCTGTTTGCAGATCTGCCTACCCAGTGCTCAGGCCGGGTGATGCTGTGAAAGAGACCACCCTCTCCTGCTCTCCACCCTGTGTCTTTCCCTCTCCTGCCCCCTCTTCTTTAAGCCTGTCATCTCTTTTGTCCCAGCACCTTGTCTGTTCTTCTCATCAATCTGTGTCCACCCTGCTCTACCTGCCACTTTCTCCTCTCTGTTGGCTCTCCCTGTTCTCTGATGTCCCTGGGCTTCTCTGACCCCTATTCTTTGGAGTCCTGGCTGAATACAGGATGTAGCATGGGCTGAGCTGCCCACCTGGCCATTCCAGTAGTGAAGTAGGCCAGTGCCTCCCTTCCTCTGGGGGTAGTGGGGAGCAGTGAGGGGCAAATTAATGATGGCCAGGATGCATACATGCTCCTTCCCAAGTAGACACACAAGGAGCAGGGCCCATGACGGGGCATACGTCAGTCTAGCTATGGTTAATGGTGGATGATGACATGTGTCCGTCTGGGCTTTCAAGCCCCTTTCTCCACCTCCCCATGGCACTCCCTGTTGGAGGGAGATGATGACATTCTACATCTGGGTCCCCCGTCTTCCCAACAACCTGCCTCAGCTTTTACAGAAGGGAGGGGAGGCTTCTCGGCCTGCTGCTGCCACCACAGGAATGCAGTGCTTCTAGGTGCTCATATCCCTCCTGGCTTTGAGGATTTTTTGAGGAGACCCTTAGTTGCTGCCCCACTTTTAGTGGGCACCTCCTCCTGGCTAGCTATGTTAGGCTCATTTCTGAGAAGGGAGGAAGCCCATTTTAAGATGAGACCCCTAATAGTTTGAGGGTATCTCACTCCAGATTCCTTGTCACATTCATGTCCCCAAGGAGAGACTGACTCCAGAGTGAAGCTGGCTCTACAGTGGAGTGAGTCCTTCTGCAACCAGTGTTCCTTCTGTCCTCTGCCAGGGTGCAGGTAGGCACCACCAGCTCTTTGCACCTCAGATGTGTACAGGTAGACACTGCCAGCTCCTGGGAGGTGGCAGCTTGGGGACATGCAGAGTGTCAGGTGTAAACTTTGTGTGCTCAAATTTTGGCTTCTGGAACTGACCCTCTCCATTGGAATGACCTTGGCTTAGTTTCCCCAAGTGAGATACAAGAGTCATCTTAAAAGGTTGGTGGGAAGAATTAATGGAGGAGGGGTAGCCTCTGGTGTGCAGAGAGGGCTCCCTTGAACACCGGGACAGCCACCATTCACGTTAGTGTCAAGCCCAGATGCCATAGCCACAGGCCCTTGTTGCCAGTCTCCTTTCAACACTCCCACAAGCTAAATGCATTTTTGTCTCCTTGCTGTGTGCCACTGCCCATCACTGGTGCCTGCTTTTCTTTTACACACATCTTTTGAAGGCCTCTCTGCTCCCAGCTCTGGGTGTATCACCTGCTCAGGCTATTTCTAGCCCCACAAAATACCAGCTCCTTGAAGACAGTTGCTGGCCCCCTCTTTGCTCCCTCCCTCACCACAGCCCAGCTTAATGTGGTGAGGGACATTGCTGGGCTAGTGATGGCCTCCTGTCACTGAGCCCAGGCCAGGCCACTTACCCATGTTACTGCCTTGAGCTCAGAACCCCTGAATGTGCTCATCTCACAGATAAGCAGACTGAGACTCAGGAAGATAAAAGGACCTCTCCCAAGCCCACAACTATGGGAAGAAGGACTGGGAGAGGATTCTTCTGTCAGACACGTAGCTGCCCTGCCAGGGGGCTGGGGACATCTGGGCAGTGGGCCCAGGAAGGAATATGTGTGTGTGGCAGCCTAGAAATCTGAGTATTAAGTGTTTGGAGGAAAATGAAGAGGCCTAAGATGTGGGAGGTGGTCACTGGGGCCCAAACAAACCTCCCCACTGTAACCTTTCCCATTCTGTTCCCTATTCCTCCTTTGGCTCTGAGGCAGTACCACGGGCTGTCCTTCAACTGCCCCACCAGCCCTAGGGCTCCTCATGGAGCACCCCCAGCCCAGAGTTGTCTCTCTACCAAGGCATTAACCATGGGTCAGGCCTGCTAGGCAAGGCACTGAACCATGGAAGAGTGGAGGAGGCCTCTATCTCCAGATTCCAGTATGATGCTGGAACAAAAGGTCATGGAATAGGTTTCTGGGTCTGATTTTGAAAATATGGAGCTGGATCCTGTCTGCAGTTTTGCCAGGCCCAGGAACTTCAACCAACTTAGACCTTCTAGGTGCTTGAGGGTTGGTGTGGTTTGGACAGGACAGGTGGGGTTGCTTGGGAAGTGGGGGGTGAGCCAGGGTTCTTGAGGGCTCTTTGCTATTTATAGGGCAGCTGGTTTAAGAGTCCAGCAGGCAGGGCTGGGGATTTAGCTCAGTGGTTTCGCCACCTGCTGCACAAGCGCAAGGACCCGATTTTGATCCCCGGGACCAAAACAAAAAAAAAAGATTCTAGCAGGCAGGCCTAGACCCTGTTGGTGGGGTAGTGTTGCTGGCTAGGTGGGAGTGGTCTTTTCTTTGCCTTTGAGCTTGCTCTGTAG